GGATGACTCGAGTGAACAACTTGTAGATGACAGACAATAGGCAGATCGGGCGATAGTTGCCAATGTCATGGATGTCTCCCTTCTTGAACAGTAGTACGGTCCTGCTGGTTTTCCATTGGGACGGAACCTTGCATTCAGACAGGTAGCGAGTGAAGAGCCGAGCCAGTGTATTGATGAGTACTGATGGCAGGTTCTTCAGGTGTTCAGGTCTGACCTTGTCTGGGCTGGGTGCTGTTTGTTTCTTTACCGACGAAATGGCGTGTCAGATTTCGGAAGGGAGAACATTGGGAACGACATACCCATCCTGTGGAATTTGGTATGTCGGCAAGTGGACATGGCTATCGAAGAGATTTGAGTAGAAGTCATGGATAATCTTCTCCATTGCCATTCTGGAGGATGTGATGGATCCATCAGGACGTCGGAGGGCAGTCATCTTGGTCTTATAGTTGGCGAAGGACAGGCGGGCGTTACGAATACTTTTCCCGGCTTCTGCCGCATCTACCAGTACTTCTGCTCTTCTCTCTTTGAGGTCTTCCTTGATCGCATCTCTGCACTGCTTTGTGAGCTCGGACGTTAGCTTGCGGTTGCCTGAGGCATGCGCCAAACCACGCTGGCGAATTAGCTCAAGCTACTTCCACTACCCAGCCGTCGCCACACTCCAGGACGCTTTCCGCTTTCCGCAAGCGGCCGCGCGACACATCATAAGACACTAAATACCCATCTTCTGGAATTGTCGTACCATATTTGATAGGGTTCAAATATGGTAACACCTACAAGGGTGATTAGAGGTCACCCCAAAAGCCTCTATCCCTCTCGGAAAGACTGGCAAGCTACCGAGAGTATTCCGCCCGCACGGAAGAGCCTGGCAAGCTATCCGCTGTGTATTCGATATGCCAAAACCAGTAACTACAACTGGTCTCATTCACCTGACCCTGAAGGCTTCACCGACATGGCAGCACTGAGAAGGGTGAGAAAGGAGAGGCCGACAAAATCTCAAGGCCGACCTAGGCTGCCACAACGAAGGAAGACAAAAATGATCATCTGTACTTTCAATGCACATACGCTAGCATCAGATGCATCCATCGAGGACCTGATGGTACAAGCGCAAATGATCAAGTACGACATCATTGGTCTGACCGAGACAAGAAGGCACGAATCTCACCATGCCGTTTTCGACACTGGAGAAGAATTGTTCCTCGGAACATGCGATAAAAGAGGTCTTGGAGGCGTCAGTGTCCTTGTCAACACAAACTTGGCCAAGAGCATTGATTCATTCGAATGCCTAACAACCCGAATCGGACGTTTACATTTGAATAGATGTGGCTCACTGCCGGCAGTTTCTATCTTCGTTGTCTACACACCAACATCTCATTATGATGAAAGAGAAATCGAGAAGTTCTACATGGAGCTAGAGAAGTTCTATAAAGAAGACCACACCTTCTACAAGATCATTGTGGGTGATTTTAATGCAAGATAGGACCGAGAAGATCAGCTGAAGAATTTCACATCGGGACCCATGGCCTAGAATGGAACCTACAATCAATTATTCATATATATATATATATATATATATATATACATATATATCTGGTTTCCTTCTAATAGCCAATCCTTCAAGATTTCATTCAGATTATTCCATCTCCTTTGCCGAAGCATGCTAGAGATTTCCCACTGCTCTTAGGATAAATACAAGATTTTGAGCACAGGTACTATGGCTGCATGAGATTTAATCTCTCATTTTCCTAACTTCTCATAGCTCCTTCATTTATCTTCAGCAGCACTGGCTTTTCTTCAATTTCTCCAACTCTCTCTACTCCCTCTTATCACCCCATCCTTGCATACAAAATGACTTCTGAAATAGTTCCTGTCTACTTAAATACATTCTTAATGCAAGTCAATTCCTCAAGTCTGTCCTGCTTTACAGATTTAATAGTAATTTGTATCTCTATCAATATGTATTGGAGAGATCATTTTGCATGACTGTTAATACTTCCATTTTTTCACGGCTAAAATCTGTGCCACCTCTCAGTATATGTACTGCAAACCACGATGCCCAAAAGTAAAGAGAGAGTGAGAAGGAAGGTGCCTGCCACAGAGGCAGGGTGTGGGATGAGGAGGGTTGGTAGGAAGGATACTGGGGACATTGGTGGTGGAAAATGCGCATTGTATGACTGAAACTCAATCATGAAAGCTTTGTAACTGTATCTCACAGTGATTCAATTAAAAAAATAAATAAAATTGGTGTTACTATGTTGCCAGTGCTAACACAGTGTCTGACACAAAATGGACATGTAGTAACTATTGGAGAAATGAAGGAAGTAAAAAGACAGAGGGAAACAGAGAAGGAAGAGAGAATAATGAATGATCTTTCACATACTCATTTCATTTGAGTCACTGAAAACAAGCTAGCCCCAAACAGGAAGAGAGTCTATCTACATTCACTCATTAAAATTGTTTTATTAATTTTTATTAAAGTAACTTATTAGTGATTATGGACATGACTATTTTGCTTGGAAACCATGGGAAAATGTCAAAAGAATCCAAATCACCTTTTATTCTGTTGCAAGTAACATGGCTGAAGTGGTGAGCAGGGAGGTAGCCTTGAGAAAATAGTGCTCCCATCTCTTTCTGCTTGACCCACTTCAGCCACCCCAGGAAGTCTCTGGGGAGGGACAGAACTTGCAAAGTCAACTTAGAGCACCTACAGCATGGGTGCTAGCTAGCTTCCCACCAGCGCCACCAGGCAGCTATCAAGCGGAGCCCAAAGTCCACTTGGTCTGATGAATGTGGGAACTGTCCCCCACTACCTGAGTTCTTTGGGAACCCTGACTCAGGCTGCAATGAGTATTCGCACTTTGCAGGAAAGGAACATCAATCCAATTTCTACCCAAGTTTCTCAAATCCATTGCCTCCCCTCAGGGGGGAAAAAAAGTCAGAAAGGAGGTGAATCGTGAAATAAGCTTATTTAGGAAATGAGGGGAGAAAAAGATATGTGGTCAAGAGTGAACACTAGTTTCTTCAGAGGGTAAAAAAGTCAACAGCACACATCTCTCAGGCCAAAGAATAGTGGACTGGGTAAGGCACTTGCTTTCCATGCAACCAACCTGGGTTCTACCCCAGCATCACATATGGTTGGTCCCCTGAGTACCACCAGGAGTAATCCCAGAGCAGTCAGGAGAAAGCCTTAAGCACTGCTGGCTCTGGTCCCAAAATGAAAACAAACAAAAAAGAGTACACATCTCAGGCTGCCATGTGGGCCAATCTTCAGGGTGGAGACTATGCCATAAAGGAAGAAAAGTACACATTTCAGTCAGCGATGCATGACACTTCTCTGGAATGGGGAAACACCCCTCTTTCCATCTGCCAAGTTAGTTCATATACAGGTTTCCCAAACTGCCCCACAAAGTCTGTTGCGAGGGTAGTTGTCGAAGGGATAAGCTTAAAGATGTTGAGGGTCTTCTTTTAATATTGTTCCAGCTGTGGAGCCTCTCCTTGCCGTCTTATTCTGGGTCTGGACTTTTCCTGTCTCCTCAGATGGGATCAGTGTCTCCAAAGTCTTCAAATCTTGGGGTTGGTTTAATCTTGAGTCAGAGTTTTTCCCAAAGCACATTACTGTTACCAATCCCCCCTCCTCGTTATCCTTTTTATTTGCAACAATTCCACAGTTAGATGAATAACGGGTAAACATAATTTGGCATCTTCCTTTCCAGATTATTTTCTATGTATCCTTAGTTTGTGAGTAGGGTCATTCCCTATGTATGACTTTCCTGGCTTCTTTCTCCATGTCCTTGAGAATTATCCCAACACATGGCATTTACATGTCTAAAATGCAATCTAATTCATGGTTATATGTTAGATACCTTTCTACATTCTGTCAGACACTTACGACCTTGCCAATCTGTTGCTTCTATAACAAATCTATAGTTTATGTTTGGCAGAGGGGGGTGGAGGGAGAGGGAGACAGAAGGGAGAAAGAGAGGGAGAGAAAAAGAAAGGAGAGGAAGAGAGGGCAAGAGAAAGGGAGAAAGAGGATGACAAAGAGGGAGGAAAGGAGGAGGGAGGGAGAGGTAAGAAAGCGGGAGAAGAAAGCGGGAGAAGAAAGGAGAGAGGGAGAGAGAAGAGAGGAAGGGAAGGAGGAAAGGAGAGAGGGAGAAAAGTAAGGAGAGGGGGAGAGAGACAGACAGATGGGGGGAGGGCGAGAGAGAAGAAAGGGAGAGAAGGGAGAGCGGAGAGAGGGAGGGAGGGAGGGAGGGAAAAAAGGAGAGGGAAAGAGAGCAGGAGAAAGGGAGGGAGAAAGAGGAGAAAGAGGGAGGGAAGGAGAAGGGAGGGAGAGGTAAGAAAGAGGGAGAGAGAAGAGAGGAAGGGAAGGAGGAAAGGAGAGAGGGACAGGAAGAGATAGAAGGAAAGGGGGGGAGGGAAAGGGGGGAGGGGAGGTGGGATCTGCGGGAAGACAAGGCAGCTTGTGCTGGAGATGTGCTGGGGTCGAGCAAACGTCCTTCAAGCGGAGGGTACCATCGGTCCGGGAACTGAGTCCTGCATCTCTCCGCGTCGGCGCCTGCCCAGGTGGCCGCGAGGGCCCGGCCGCCGCACCTGACCTTCAAACCCTCGGGCGAAAGGCTCTGGCTGCGACTCCGGGCCCGCCCCCGGCCGGAAGCGGGGCTGGAGGCCACGCGCCGACACGTGCCCGGCGCCGCGCTCCGCCCCCCTCGCGCTCCCCGCCACGCCTCCCACCCGCGGCGGCCCGCGGCTCCCAGCCGCCAGCTCCGCCCTCGGGCCGCCACCCGCCCCGCGCGCCGGCCTCCCGCCCCCTCGCCCCCGCCCCCGCCCCCCGGCCCCGCCCGCCCGCCCCGGCAGTCGCCCCGCCCCCGGCCGCAGGCCCCGCCCCCGCAATCCGGGCCCCGGGGCCGCCCCGCCCCCCGGCCGCAGGCCCCGCCCCCGCAATCCGGGCCCCGGGGCCGCCCCGCCCCGCGGGCCGCTCTCGAGGCGCGGGGGGCGGCGCCCTGCGCGATGACGTGGGCGGGCGTGCGCGGTGACGGCCCGCGTCCCTGTTACTCAGCGGAGCGGCGGAGGCCGGACGAGGCGGCCCGGGGCGCAGAGGCGCGAGCAGCGCTGGGTAACGGCCGCGGCGACCGCCCGGACGGCGCCGGTGCCCGCCGGCGGGCTCTCCTGTGGCCGTTGGCTGCGCCGCGGGGTGAGTGCGCCGAGGGCCTGAGGGCCGGCGGGGGCGGGGGCGCCGCCGTGTTTATGTTATTGTGCCGCTGCCGCCGCCGCCGCCGCCTTCTCCTCGGCGGTGACCCCCCCCCCTCCTCCTCCTCCTCCTCCTCCTCCTCCCTACGGGAGTGGGGGCGGGGGGCGCGCGGCGGGCGGGGGCGGCGGCGCGGGAACAATAGCGGCCCGGGGAGGCCGAGGTGGTCGCGGCCGCGGGAGGGCGGCGGGACCCCGGCGCGCCCGCCCACCCCCTCCCTCCCGGCGCCTGGCTCGGTGCGCGCGGGTCCGGCGTCCCCGTCGGGAGGGAGACGCGGAGGAGCGCGGCGGCGGCGCGGGGGAGGGGCGGGGGTGGCAAGTTCCGAGGCACTTGGCGAAGGTCGGGACGGCGGCGCCGGGCCGGCCCGCGACGCCCGGGCTCCCCCTCGGCCGCCGGCTGGCTGCGGAGCCCCGGCGAGCGCGCGGGGGTCCCCGGCTCCCGGCGCCCGCGCGCCGCCCGCGGGGATCCACGCCTTGGCCGTGGTCGGTGCCTTCGCCTTTGTGAGCCGGTCCCGGGCGAACGCCGGCGCCCGAGCAGCCCCGGGGGTGGCACCTTCGGCTGTCGGCGGCCTGGGCGGGAGGTGACCGGCGCCCCGCGCGGGCTGGAGTGGGCAGCGCGCGCGCGCCCGGTCGTGGTTGCTCTCGAGGCTCACTCCAGGGGTGACCTTTTGACTCTTCCCCCCCCCCCATCCCCCTCATCCTCCCATCTCTTTGTCTTGGCTCTCGGGTTCTCCGGTCCCTTTTTTAAAAGCGTGGCGATGAACACTTCTCTTCATCCTGGATTTCTCAGGAGTTCCACCCCAGCTCTTGCACTGTGAACTTTAGTGGACACGTTGTGGCTGCGGGAGCGTTCAGACCCCGTCCAGGCATTGCTATTTTTACTCCTGAAATTGAGAGCTCCTCGCCGTAAAAAAAAAAAAAAAAAAAAAATTCTGTTCCGCCAGCCCATTGTGTTTGGAGACCAGCTTCCAGCAGGTATTTCCTTGGCAGTTAGAACATCTGTTTATTTCATTCATTCGTTCAAGCAACTGTTTAGTAATGCGCCCCGATGGGGAGTCAGCAAGTAAGGAGAAATAACCCTTTACTAGGGTTATTAAAGAGGATGCTTTGGATGAAATACAATGGGTATATCCATGAGACTGCATAGGAGTAAAGAAGGTATAGTTGTATAGTCTTAGTGATTTTACTCTTTTTGTGTTTTTTTTTTTTGAGTCGTACACCTGGAACTTCTGGTCTGGTATTAGACTAGGAAATAGATTTGGTAAATTGACAACAGCCCTTTTCTCTATTTGCAAACTCGTTTTCAATCTTAGGGCCATAAATAAGTCTTCCAGCCATTTGTAATCCTTACTCATATTCCCCTACGATACCGCAACTCACCGGTTGAGTTGAGCCTTAGAGTTTGGATGCCAGTGTTTGGATGAAAATGATCAGTGCAGGGGTTGGAGCCGTAGTATAGCGGTTAGGGCGCTTGCCTTGCATGAGGCTGACCGGGCTTCGATCTTCAGCATTCCTTATGGTCCCCCAAGTTCCTCCAGGAGTGATCCCTGAGCACTGCCGGGTGTGACCCCAAAACAGTAACATTACAACAAAAAACATCTAGTGCTGTGGCTAACAAAAACAGTCAAAATAGGAGTTCCTTGAAGGCATCTTGCATCTGTGTTTCCAGAACCTGTCTTGGAATGTGAAAAGTACTCATAAAAGTAAGACTGAATAAATTCTTTACTATTGATGATATCTAAAATCAAATCTTAAAACATCTTTTAAGATGTTTTGTAAAATAGGCCTTATGCAAACTCATTTTCAGATGACTGAATTATTAGCTAATTTGTTAGAACAGTAGACCCCTCGCACCCCCCAACCCCCGCTGCATTACTGATGAACCATTCACTGTCCACCCCCCAATTTTTTTTGTCTAAAGTGCTTAATACGTATTACATTGTGAATTTCAGTAGGAATCAAAACTAATTGTATTTATCTTTATGGATATTATTTGAAAAACCCTTCTTGATTTTTTTTAAGTGGAAAGCAAGGATAAATGAGATCAACTGCATGAAAGTTTTATAAGAAATGCTTAATTATAGCATTTTAGAAATGTTTTTTAGAATGCTTAATTTTTTTAAATTTTTGGACTAATGGGCCCCAAACTGAAAATCGTGTTAGTTTAGTTATATATCTTTCTTACTTTCTTACTTTAATACATTTTAGCCTTTATTTGGGATATGAATGGATCTAAAGTGAATTTATTATTTGATGTACAATAGAAATGAATAGGAAAATGAAACTTCATTAAGATAAGGGATAGAAACTTGAGATATCATTTATTGCTTGACCTCGTTAAGGTATCTCAGGATTCCAGTAAGGGTTAATCATACAAATCCTTTGTATCTGGGAAGCTGGAAGTTTTTTGTTTTTTTTTTCCCTTAAACTTCTTGGCTTTTTAAAATAACATTTTATTGACATATTCATATGCCGTTATTTTTTTTTATTTAGAATATGTATTCGTTGTTTTAACTTATTTTTGTTCTGGGCCATACCTGACAGGTGCTCAGGACTTACTCTTGACTGCTTTCAGGGAACACTCCTAGTGGGGTTCAGGGACCCATATGGGAACCTGGGGATTGAACCCTGTAGACTACTCGCAAGGCAAGTACCCTACCTGCTGCACTATTTCTCTGGCCCCTGTATTAGTTTTTTTTTTAACATATTTGTCAAGTTTTGCATCTATTACAGCTAATTCAAGGATGTTTTCATCACCTATCTCCGAACATTACAGATTACTCCCCGCCCCGCTCTGGATTTAAAGGGAGTAATGGCACTAATTTTGTTTGGTATTTTTCATTAGGATGAAAACTTCCCTTCATACTCAGGTTCTGGGAGAAGTAGCACTTGGAAAGGACCTTGAGAAAATAAATTCTATCAATTTAAAATCTTAACTATATGCTTAATGTCTAATATAAAATAATCTTACAAAGAAAAGGAGGTAATGTGATGTGCTTGATACCCTGCCAGCAATAGTTTTGAAAACCACAGTGCTTAAACGGAAAAAAGAAAAAAAAATCTGTCACAGTGACAGGCTGGGGAGGCGGGGCAGAGGGAGTGCTGGAGGGAACCGAGGTGAGGGGAAGTGGACACTGGTGAAGGAGTAGTGCTTGAACATTGTAGTAGTGAAATTCAGTCATGAATACCTTTGTAACTTTGTGTCTCAGGTGATTTTTAAATTTTAAAAAATACCTCAGTGAAGATACTCAGTGAAAAGACTTGGAGTCATTTGTTAAGTGACTAGTCACAAGCTATCCTAGTTGTTGCAGCTATTCCTCGTCATAAGATGTTGAGTAGGGAAGCCTGATTCTTGTTAGTCTACCTTACCAGTGATTTGGATTTTGACAGTGTTTGAGTCATTTGGATGGTTGAGATGCTTTGTTGTACATGTATAAGTTTAAAATGGTATCTGACGTTACCAGCTCTCTAGAGGTCTCTGGTCAAGTCATTGGTGTGGGTAGTAGCCATTCTGATTCACATAATGCAAAGTCATTATAACCACTTCGCTTTAGCTGTGAATCATTTGCCTGTTTCATTGAGTTGTGCTGCTTACTGTCTTAGTCACGTGCTGTTAGCCTGAACATTTTGAAGCGTTGTCTTCTTTTTCTAATATAGAGTACCTTGAATTTTGATTACAGGAATGTTGAAATGGTGATTATTTGGTATAGTAGGTGGGATGGGAACTATGCAGGATTCAGACCTCAACTTACTCTTGAGTTCTGTCATCTGTACTTCTCAGCAAGCTCTAGAACTTTATATAAGTTTCACATTTTTGGTGAACAGTAAACTTTGGCTATGAATTTTTTTTTTAAACAAAAGCGTTTTCTCAATGTGATTGTTTCGAAAATATACTGGGATAAAAAAACAATTCTTGGGGCCAGAGATAGTACAGCAAGTAAGGTGACATGAGTGACCATGATTCTGTTTCAAGAACAGTAATAAAAGTTAGGCTTATATAATTTTCAGAAGCAAAGAGAAAACTGAATAGTCTTATAATTTTCAGAACAGAGAGAAAATTGAGTCAACTGTTATGGTGATAACCACACTTAAAGTACACTCAAAACATTTTTAAGGCAAATAAGAAGTGTCATTGTAAGTTAGGAGCTCTTTGGTAGATTTTATTTATTCCAAAACATTAGACTTATATGGTGCTCTTGGAGATTTAATGAAAGATGTTAAAATGAAGAGTTAACCTCATTCTAGTACCGTCCTGAATAAGGTTATATTACTTAAAAATATATATATATATATAAAGATGTGAAGAGGCTTCCCCCAGATAAAACCCTTCCCTGAAACTATGGACAGATCAATTTCATTTAAATCCAGTTTTCAAAACTAGCATGAGATTGTATATGTGTATAAGACCTTTAAGAAAACTAGCTGTCATTTCTTTTCCAAGGCAGTGTATTATGCCACAAATTTATCTTCCATTATCCTTTAGTAGTTTATCAAGTTTGGCTAAAATCTGCCGATTCTTTAGAGAATTAAGGAGCTCAAACTTAATAGTGGTCGCTTGCATGTACTTTGGGGTTAGTTCTCAGTTCTAATCTATGCGCCAAATGACAAAGGTTCATAGTTTAGGGTATGTATTATCTTTGGGCATTTCTCCCTCATTCTCTGTCAAATGAGAATAGTAATAGCATATCATCTCATGGAGACATGGAATATGACATAAAAAGTACCTGGCACTAGTATGGAGCCTGGAATACTAGATGTAAGTGTAAGAGAAATTTTAGCTGTTACCACTTATTTTAACTTGGGACAAATATAAATACCAATTAAATTTAAAACCATTTTGATGTACAGTGTACATTCGTGTTCTCTAGAATATGCAGTTGTTTTCCTTTATGTCTCTGGGCTGACATTTAAAATTTGATCATCTCTTCTGATCTGAATTGATTAACA